GGCTGGAGGAAAAATAGCCTCCTCCCCCAGTCTCCTCCCTATCCATATATCTTCTGCTGCTTGGAAACTGTTCTTGCTTCAGGCCATGCAAATCACAAGATTATCTGTAACTGCATTCCTCAGGTCTGACCAGGAAGAGGTGGGGATAGCGCAACCCCCACCCTGGAAAAGAGCCATAAACCCCAATCCCTCCCTCCCGGTTTGGAAATCTATCCCAGCTTTTCCTATACTTCAAGCTCTGGCCACAGCGCCATAGCACCAGAATGTCCCGGCTAATATCAGTTGTTAGGTTTCAGAGTTAACGATCTAGCAAGACGAATGGAGCCGTTTGTGCTCCTCTAAGAAACACAGGTTTTGATAGTTTGCAGACTCAGGGAAAGAAGCAACATTTGAGATCAGATTTAGAATGTGTCCTTTACCACCCGTAGGCCTGGAAACTTGCTTTTTATATTTAATTGAAAACTTAAGTGCCTCAGAAATTGATGGGGCCAACACGGAAGGGCCGATACTGTGTCCTACCGGGTACTTACTTTACCCTGCCTGGTGCTAAGAGGAGACAGCGGAAGAAAAAGAAGCATAGAAGAACATTAACAAAAAAAAGCCATTTTATTGAAAATGAAATTCAAACTTCAAATTAATATTACAATCATGAGAAAATGCCAAACAATTCAATTTACAGTTGCAACATACAATACAAATAGTCCCTTTGAAGTTGAAGTAAACTGATCCACAATCATCGTCTGTGGCATAAAGCAGAGTGTGTTTGTACAATATGTGCATGAAAAGCAAACCTCGGGTGACAGCATTTGAAAAAATAAAAAATTAAAGCTTGTATTTACACAAAATGCTACAAATATTTTGTTCCAGCGGAAATTCAAGACTGGTAAAGCATATTTAACAACAAAAAAAAAAATTGGAATGTCACTCATATTACCTAAAACAAAAGTTACTGTAAAAGTATGGTTTTGGCTGATATACTTAAAAGTACTGCATTAAAAAAAAAAAGCAAAGAGTTATCTGTAAACATGGAAGTAAACAAACATCTAAAAAAGTTCTCAGAAAATGTTAAAATGAAATGCATTCTATTTAAAAACAACAAGAAATTCAGGGGTTCAGAGAATGGGGCTTCTTTGAGCTCATGGCTGATCCAGGTTTTAATTATTGCTTTTGCTCATGGCTTGTTGGCCGCGTGCAGCCCGGCGCGGGGCTGAGCTTTGCTTTGCTAAGTGTGAAAGTGCAAAATTTTCCCCATTCGAGATGGTACCTGTGGAAACCGGTAAATCTTTGCTCGGGGGACTGCTGCCAAAAAAGTTCAATGCTAAGAAAGACACAGCAGCTGGTCTTTTAAAAGAAACGATAAACGCCACACGAATGATGCTGTGGGTTAAATAATTTGCTTTACTCATCCGTCCCGACCCGCTGACCCCAGTCTGGTTACCCTGATCTTAGGAGGAGGGAGAGGAGGATTTAATCCTCCGTTCGGCAAATGGGACATCGTGCCTGTTGTGCTGGAAGTAAATCTTTGGTAGGATAAGAGAGGTGGAAAGTAAAAAAAGGGCCGTTTTTTAATCTTTAAATCTATGACCGGTGCCAAAGATTGCCACTCACATAAGGGAAGGGCTGTCGTACCTTTGAGAAAACTCCTTTCTGTCGACGCTAAGCACCTCGCAAACCATCAAATAATCTGATATGATATCTACCTAGCGCCAGTTGGGCTTTTTTTGGTCTGAAATCCTGATTCAAGAGCATTTCCAAGTGAACTCGGAAGCATTTCCCGAAAGCTTTGATGAGCATTTCTGCCCTAGCCTGACGTACCGGGAGAGATTTTCCAAAGGCACCAGGAGGGTTCAGGAGCACGGGGGTCTACTGAAAGTCAAGAGGCTGGTGCTCCTCCGTCCGTAGGTACTTAGAAAATCCTTTCCTTCCTATCTCAAGCAGGCAGAGCCAGAGGCCTGCCCGCGCGGCCAGGGAAGCCGAGGGCACGGGTCGGGCACGCGCGCCTCGGCCGGGCGGAGAAAACGTTTTCAACGTCTGTCCCTAATGGTCCAGTTGAAAAAACCGCGGGGACACAAACGGAGTCCTGTCGGTACTGAGCAAAACAAAAGTCTGGTCTGTGCTGGATTTATCCAGAAACAAAAACCAAGTGCTTGAATTTTACAACAAAGTCTTAAAAAAAAAAAAAAAAAAAAATCTGGTTTTGGGTTGCTGCCTGCAGCCACTCTTAACAACATTTCAACACAAAAGCACCCTAAAAATTACTTAATATGCATACAGTAAACCTTAAAAAGCCCTTCTCAGCAATAACAAATAATGTACAAATATAGTACCTTTTATTAAATAGGAAACAGCTTGCACTGGCAGTACATCTTTTTCTCTTGCTTACTAAACAAAAAACAAAACTGAAATGTGTAACCAGACACTGGCTTTTTAAGTGCTGCTGAGACTAACAAACGTATTTTACAGTTACAAATAAATGGACAGTGGTATGCTTCAAGCTACCACAAACCAACAATAAATAGAATCAATTACAGCTTCCATCTTTGAAGGAAAACTAAGTATTAGAAGAAAAAAAAAAAAGTGTCTTACTTATACTTTAAGCATACTTGGTATACAACCTTTAGAAGGCAAAGACTTTATTAATTTTTTTTTTTTTGAGAGCACGTCATCACGCAAATCGGAGGGATGTAGCATGCTAATGTCAACTCGTTTAACAGCTTTGCTATTAACGAGCGGTGATGGTGTTGTCCGGCTCTGTATGGCTATGCCCACCGTTGAGTTATTGCAATACTTTGGAGGGAGCCAACGTACAGCCAAGGAGCGGCGTGGCGGCTGGCAGCCCCCCGCGGGCGGCGATGGCTACGGCGGTGGAAGGAGGGAGCGCCGGCAAACTCCATCAGCACGTGCCGAACGTCCTGCTAAACCAGGCTTAACGTCACCTGCTTGGGGACAGCACGGGGAGGGCGGTCCAGCTCCCACCGCATCCAGCCGACGCCGCATCGCCTCCCCGTTTGCCGTAGCAGCCCTGGGCTGGGCAAAATTTGGGCCCCTCCGCTGGGTAGTTTGGCGGCAGGCAGGTTGGTTAAGGGTTTCGGGTGCAATTTGCTCTCCCTGTATCGCACCTGGGAGCCCCAGGGTGGCTTTTAAGGTGACTTTTTATCTTCAGCGTTTGCAGAGGTGACTATTGCTGCCCTTGTGCTTGTCTCTCTCATACGGCAACAGCCACACCGGCTTCAAAGTCAACACAGCATCCTTACGGCTATAGCATTTAATGCTAACGGGCGGTGATGTGCTACCAGGCAGTTTCTGTCTCAAGTTTTGAACTTTTCTATTCCATCGAGTGGGCTGAAATTGCAAGGGGAGGGGAAAAAGTTTCACCAGTTCCCCTTTAATCCCATTTCTGAGATATTTAACAATTCATTATTTGTAAAATACGGGCTTTGAAACGGTTTTGATTTTTCTTTGGGGAAAAAAAAAACCCTGTCGAAATTCAAATCATGTTGTCAAAACAGAACATTTTAAATATGTTTTAATATTTTCAAATTTTGAAGTTCTGAGAAAAATCCTGGGAGAAGAAGAAATTAGGGGAAGGGTGGAAAATATTTCATCCTTCCTACCATTTTTCCAGTGTCTCCACAACTACTGATTAAAAGGCAAGACTGTGTTGAAGGCAACCAGACAGCTAATAAAAATATTTTAAACACAATATTTCCTTCATAAGTTATATAAAAAGATCCTACATCCAAAATCATTTGATGTGGATGCATTTGGGTTGGGTTTGTCGTTTTTAAGTCACATTGTAAACTGGTTCACACTGGAACTGCTTTTCAGAGTTGGGTAAAGGTTTGAGGTTTACACCATTGCAGAAATGTAATAAGTAAAAAAAAAAAAACAAAAAAACAAAAACACTTTTAGAGACCGAAGTCAATATATCATTACATTAAGAAACGTTTAAAGGGTCCAAATGTCATTTAAATAATTATAAATATTCTTTTAAAGTTATATGATGATTCATGTTAGCAAACAACCTCAAATTTTACACATTTATAATTTAAAAAAAAAAATAAAAAAGAACATAGCCGAACACAAATACTATGTATACCATTTTGGCTCTAGTAATATATATTGCCATTTTCATATTTTGCATAAGTAATAACATTTTGTTTTTTGTTTTTAAAGGTTTTGGTTGTAATTTTTGGTTTTTGGCTAATCGAAGGCAAAATGAACGGATACAAAAGCAAAAAAAGGAAACCCCAGGGTTGTCTAGCCTAACTTGAAGACTCGTTCTCTTTAAGTACCCAAAAACAAACCAAAAAAGCAATGAACACAGAGAAGTTCCAACCGTTATCTGCAGCAAGGCTCGGACAGAGTTTTTTGGGACAGCTGTTTTCATCTGAATGTATCATGGCAAAATGGAAGCAACTCGATCTTTGCTTTCCTTTTTATGTGCACCAATACAAGCCAGTTGAATTGCACTACGGGTGTGAAGAGGGTCCCATACGTTGTATGATTGCAACTGTATCTGGAGTTCATGGTTAGGGTTTTTTTAATTAAAAAATAAAAGGGAATGCAGCCTTTGCCTTGCATCACCATGTTTCTCCTGATAGCTGGGGAGTCCGTTCTCTCCTCATTGGCAAAAGAACTCACTAGTTATTACAACACTCTAGACCAAAAAAGAAAAAAAAAAGGAGGGGGTGATTTTTTTTTGTGTGTGTAAAAAGTACATTTTAAATATAAAACAAGGTAAAATGGTTCCAAGAAAAAAAAAAAAAATATGTGCTTTGATCCACATAATCTGAAACATGGGTTGTGGTGTGTTGGTAACTCTTGTGTTATTTATGGCCATTATCATCCCATCTACACAGTTGCACATATCGGTAAAATCTATTTTTTTTTTTTAAAAAAAAAAACACAAAAAACAGGCACTTCGTAGTTAGTCGACCGTTTGTTTGGTTTTTTTTTTTTTTTGGCTCGCGGAGGTCGGGCCGGCTACAGAAGAAATCTCAGTACGGCCTCCAAACGGACTCATCCATTCTGCCACTAGAATTCAAGACGGTTGGGGAGCTGCTGTGGCTGCCATCCGCCTCCACACCGTCACTCTGGTTGGGCAAGTTAGGGTTTAACAGCGTGCTGCCGTTGGACGTGGTGGTGCACGGAGGAAGCATCCTGGAGGGGGAGCGGTCCCCTCCCGGCACCATGGGGAACTGGTATGATCCTGACGAAGTGCCATAGTAGAGATATGGAGTGCTGCTGGTCTGGAAAGGTCCACTTTGGTTTTGGGAAGAGCCGGGGTAGGGTGGTGGTAGGTAGGTGTGGTAGTGAGTGGTTGCGGACATACCCAGTGACATGCCTGAGGTGACTGGCGGTGTATAGGTAAAGGTGGCTGGATAGTGCATTCGTGGGTTGGAGAAGCGGCTCTCAGTGAGGGATGAAATGCTTGTGAACTGCCTGGGATCTGAAAATGGGCCCAGCTCTGAAGCACCTAAAAAATTATAACAAAAGACGGGGGAAAACAATTCTGTAAATACCATTTTTTGTATCAAGTGATGATAGAATTTTATTTTTCTAAGAAAACCCACTTCTTTTGGCCCCCAAGAGAACAGCAGATCATATCAAATAATACATTGCAAGGAACAGAGTCATACACCTGTCTTCTACAAGCGCTGGGCCAAACTCATCCCTGGTCTAACTCCACCGATGCCAATGGAGGGAGCAGCATTGCCAACCTGAAGAGTTCAAAGGTCACAAGTCAGGCCGGGGGAAAAAAAAAAAATCTCAAAAATCAAGAGATTGAAAAAAGCCAAAAAAGAGAAAGGTGGATTTGGAGTTGATTTGCCTTCTGGTTTCTGAACTTTGAGGGTGACGTGTCTCTGGGTTTTTGCTATAGCCTCTCGAGAAACTCAGGTCTGGTTGCACACGAAAGCTGAGATTCCCACCTCAGCACGTGCTGTGGGGAGCTGGGGTTTCCAGAAAAGCAGAAATGACCGTGCAACTTGTAATAAAACTACAAGAGTTGGCAACACCGAGTTAGTTGCACCACTGACACCAGGGGAGTTACACCGGGGGTGACTAAGCCCCACTTCTTGCCTTAAATCGATTTATTTAGGTGGGGATCTGCTCAGCTACTTCCTATGGCCGAAAAATAATATTATTTGCTGCATCCAAAGGATGGGCAAAGCCACTGAGCTGATAGCAAAGATGCAAATTTGGCTTTTCAGTGCAGCCGATGGAAAATTACAAGCCCAACACTCATCTTGTCATTGAAAGAAGTTGTTTTCCTATCTAGTCTGTGCAGTCTGGTTGAAAAAAAGACCACACAGTTTATGGCTACTGTGAACGTCTGGATGGTAACGCTGTGAATTGGAGTCTAACGCAAAACAGGGACGGGTAAACTCATTTTGCCTAATTTCTAATCCCACATCAAACGCCCAAAGTTTCGGAGCAGAACTGGAAAGCAAATGTTAGTAGCTTGGTGATCTGCTTAGGAGACTGTGGGATGGACAGGAGCAGAAGAAAAAGATGGTGAAAGCTCGCGTCGAGAGCCAGAAAAGTGGAAAACAAAAAGGGTGTGGGAAAAGGGATGGGGGGAAAGAGAAAAAGTCTAATGAAGAAGTACAGTGCAAGAGGGAGGGAAATGCATTGGCCAGTATGCAGTAGATACATATATACGTTTTTATAGGGAGACAGCTGGAAAAAGCGGGGTATAAATAAAGGGGAAAAATCATGAAATCAAATGGGCTCTCCCTGTGCTTCCCAGCCGACACTTCTACAGCTTTACAGTCCTCTAGATCCAAGGGTTCACCCATCTCTTTGCCAATTTACCGAATCTGATTTACCTAACAGGAAAATATGGCAACTTCTAGATGCCAAACTGATGTGCTAAACACTGAAACACCCTGGGTATCCTCAGTGTAAGATGCAGCAACACTTTTCCTTGTAGATAGGCTTTGGATCTGACCTGCCGACACTGCTGTGCAGAAGGAAGGTCCCTTCTGCCCTCGGCCCCCTGTAGCACCCACAATGGTGGTTGCTACCATCAGCCACAGACTCTACGGACCCTGCCACCTTGTGTGGCACATTTTGTGATTTAGATCACTATTCTCTCCTGTTCTACCGGCTCATTTAACCCATGCCTTCAACATAGTATCAGACAATACTTAAAAGCGGCAGGGCGGCAAAGCTCAGGCACAGCTTGGGTTCAGGCTGAAGGACCTGGGCCACAGCCAGCCAAGCGTCCAACTCACGCAGCCTGAAACCCAGGGATTATAATCTGCCATCTGAAAAGATATTGAGGACAGAGCTTTAAATGGGCAGTAAAGGCCCATTTTTAACTCTGATGACAATGTGAATACTATTATCTTTATCTGGAACCAAATCAGTGACCTACGGGTGAATGGGTCTGTCTCCATCATCAACCCCTCCAACCACAGCACCGTGGAATGTAATATAACTTGTACCTTTACAGCAAACACTCTACTACTTGATGCAACTTCTTTCGTTCCCAACTGCAAACAATAGCCAGAGGCGATACCACCCAGATTCAAAGCTGTAATTTTGGAACACTATCCTTTATATTGTGAACAGGTCTGATACGTATCTGGAAATATAAGGTTAGAACATAATTTCCCCAGCTGCTCAAAATACTGAGTTTCAATCTGCTACTGCTTATACTCCTTGTTTTTTTTTTCATTGTTATTGCAACTCTCCCAACATGAACAGAGTTGCTCTTAGGTTACCCTGATAGAAGCTAAACAAGACTTCTATAATCAAAGGTACAACTGGTATGAGTGTAAGGGTGTAGAACATCGGCATTTTTGGTTTCTTTGCAACCAATACTTTTTTTTTTTTTAATAACAAACTATCCACACAGTTTGACACATTAAAAGGCAATCTCCCTTTCAGGGCTAGATCCAAATATTATCTGTATAATATTCTGTATATATATATAATATATCTGGGTGCTGCCAAGAGATCACGCATGTGTTGAATGACTGGGAATGTGCACACCACACGTAGGCATTTCTAACGCGGGGCTACAGACCTCCTTACATACCCTAGTAAATCCACACTTGTTTGTTTTTACTGTTGCTTGTAAAGCACAATCCTATTTACCCAAAGGCCAAATAACCATAACCCTTTCTTATCTCACCCATGGCTGTGCCTGCACCGCTCCTGCACACTCACTTCTCCAATCCCCCTCCTGCCCAAATACCTTTGGCTGTCTCCTTGACTCCCTGCACTAGGTTGTGATTTGTTCCCAGCCTTCTGTATCTCCATTGTGTAAAGATATTTTTGGAGATCAGAAGAAGTTTTCTGTGATGCCTGTTCTAAAGCCTCTTTTCTAAGTGAGTCCAGAAACTTTTTAAAAAGTCACCTCTAAAATTCAGCTTCTTGCCATCCTCACTGCTATGCAATCTCACTGATGCATTTTCACCTTCCTCCCTCCTCCTCCTCTCTCTGTGCCACCTCCTTGTGTTAAGGTTGATTTTGGTTCTAACTTGCAAACACTAGGTGCATATTCATTTATATATGTTTAGCTCTTTGCTGGACTGGGAACATAAATAGCTTTTCTGGGTGCCATACCCATCTTTGTATATCTAGTTGTGCACAAATAGCGATGTCGATCAGCAATATAGTAACATGACAGTGCAAGTAAATAATTTATTTATTCATCTCCCCAGCAGGATTAAAGATTTATGCTAATTTTTCCTCCGTCAGAGCACGAAAACAATTTGCATCTGTGAATTCCCACTCTCGTGATAGCTTGTATTAAACGGGTGAAGCACAGATCCTCCGCCCTACATCGTGGCCGCGTGATTGCGAAACCACACTTCTGTAGAGAGAAGAGACTTTATTTTGTGCCGCCAGAAAGACAAACACGGCAACAAGCACAGCAAGTGATCTTCTTTCCCAACACAGTCTGCTCAGCTCACCGTGCTTGACAATACAAAAAAAAAAAGTATATTTTTTCAAAAAAACCCTTTACATCTGAAGGAGCGCAGGTTAAACTGTTTTTAAATCTTCCAGGCTGATTCCTCCCTAACGTAACCTGGCACTCAAGTTTTCTGAGAGCTATACGTTTAGAACAGAAAAGTGGTAATGTTAATATGCCAATATATATGCTAACATCCTAGATTCGAGAATACTGCTCCAGTGTGTTTCATATTTAGAATAAGAACAATTAAAATTCCATGTGGTTTCACTTATTTTGATGCAGAAGCCTCATTAAAAACCCTAGACTTGGGCATTTGCCAGCAGCCGACTAAAATGGTTTTGCATTCGCGCTTAAAAACCAATTTTACCTGTTGCAGCTTTGCAGCTCTACCGTTTACAGCTGAATGCGTACCGTGGTCATTTCTCTTTTTCGGTTTACAGATGCCAACTAATGCCAGTTAATGTTCATTTCTCAATTAATAAGCTGTGCTTGTGGTTTGCAGAAAATAAGGCAACAAATTTCTGCCAGGTTTACAGCACTTTGGCCAATCGCTTCCAATTATTAAAGATCATAATGTACTGTGGATAGATTAACTCCTTGTGGGTATAGCAAGTTGACATCTACTTTAAAGGATTATAAGATAATTTTATAACTTACAACTATTGCAATTTGCTTTGTCATTTTATGCTATAATGTCACTACCAAAAAAAAAGGTCCCCTTGCCTTATTGCATATGTCTGATAGGGAAATTTCTAGCACATCAAGTCAATGCATAATCACTGGATGCAAGAAAACAGAGCAGTGCTGTATTTGAAAGTCACTGAATAGTCTGTCTCAAGGAAATTCAGCTACATATAGTTAAATATATTTACCAGTAGCTAAATGATTCACTTGTGTTTTGGGGAACTTCAGTGTTAAGACATTTGCTGAAGCAGATACTGGATTTTGTGGTTTTTTGTTCAATAGTTCAATTCAGGCTGGGACGTAGCACTAATTGATCTATTAAAACTGTTTTTTCCTTCCCTAACATCTACGTCTATGAATTATATGTGCAGCTTGGATTACTTACAGCTGATAATATCGCCTCGTACGAAGTATGCCACACACTTCACATGATGAGACGATTTTCAGTCTCTTACAGCTTTGCCAAACTTTAAACGTTCTGGCTGAAATTGTCCATGCTGGGCGTCTGTCTCTGGCTAAATTGTGATTTATGCATTTATTTGTTTTTAAAATTTCAGCTGAAACTCTTCTGCTGGGAAAAATATATTGTTTTACTAATCTTAAACTCTGAGGAGCCTTCCTTTGAAAAGCTGTACCAGTTCCACGCTTTGAAGTAAGGACTTGAACTTTGGAATAGGAGTGGCTTTTGTGTGAGAGACACTGCCATGAAAATCCAGCCAAATGTGAACAAATCATAAGCATTCTGCCTAAAAATGGGCAGAAGAGTCTGTGCCCCTACAAAGACACTTGTCCAGAGACTGGAAGGAAATCCAGGAGTCCCAAGTCCCAGCATTTTTTGAAATGTCTGCAAATATTGCTGAAAC